GGGAGCTGAGAAAGGGAGGGGGAGCGTGTGTATGTACATACATCTGTGCACCCACCCGGCTGTTTGCATCTCGGGGCTTGTGCACGCGTGTGTGCACACGGGTGCCTCTGTGCACTTGTGCTTGTGCACACGTGCCACTGTGCATATGCAGGTGTGTGCGCTTGTGTCTGTGCACACCGGTCTTTGTGTACGTGTGAGCGTGTACGGCCCCCACGCGGCTGGACAGCAGCTCCCTTGTCCCCGTTAGCGGCCGGGGGCTGCAGTGGCCGGAGCCCCAGCTTCCAGATGCCCGGTGCCCTGCCTGGCTCCGGGGTGAAAGAACCAGCCCCGGGGAACAGCCCGACTCGCTTTCTGCGCCTGGGAATTGGCTCCAGGGAAGCTCCTGCCGGGAGGCGACTCAGCTGGTGGCCCGAGCGAGCCCCCGGGTGTTTGCTCTGGGCACCCCTCCCTCTGCCGGGCAGCAGCATGGCACCGTGCAGGCAGCTGGAGCGGGCCAGGCGGGTTCGCGGAGGGGCTGCGGGTGGAGGGGCCATCCCTGGACAGGGAGCTCGGGCAGGCCGGGGCACCCAGAGCATGAGGGGCTGCAGCCAGTGGACACACCACGCTGGGGTGAATAGACCCCATTTGGGGGGAGAAGGAGGGAAAGTCCCTAGTGTGCCCCCTCCCCCGCCTGCCAGCCTATTACATCGGCCCAGGGCTCCCTCTGCTGGCCAGAAAGGGACGTGCATCCCCCCCACCCTAGAGCAGCCTGGCTCTGGGGCCTTTCCGTGGTGCTGCTGGGTTACGGGGGGGTTCCTATGGAGACCCCCAGGATGCTGCAGTGAGGACAAAGGAACATGCAGCCGCCCGGGGACCCTCTGGCAGGTCGAGGGGACCCCGGCTCTACTCTGGTGCCACGCTGGGCTCCAGCTCCCCCCGCCCCACCCCGAAGCTGGGCTCTGTCGGCCTCCCCAAAGCAGCTGGTGCTAGCCAGCCAGAGAGCGGACGGGCCATGGAGACTGAGCCCCCAGGAGTAGCTGCCGCACCCCCAGAGGTGGCTGCATTTTAGCAGGGCCGTGGCACAAGCCAAATACAGGGACAGGGCCCAGCCCCCTCACTCCCTCCATCAGCTCCCGCCGGTGCCCCTCAGTCCTGACCCACAGGCCCTTTTGCTAGCCCAGCCCTGGGCTCCTCTTGAGCACAGACGGGCCCGCTGGCTGAAGGACTCGTGGGTTAGTGAGTCACCCAAACAGCCACTAGCAACAGGAGCCTGAGACCCGCCAAACCCATTCCACCCGGCCTCTGCAGGGGGCTTGCTCCCCTTCCCCGAGGGGACAGGTCAGCGCACACCAAAGTGTGCAAATACCCACACAGGCACTCACAGTAATACACTCATGCATGATTGCACACACACACAAGCGTGCACATGCAGGAATACACAGGCGTGCACACACACTCATACAGACACACACATGTGCACACACATGCAGGAATACACACACGTGTGCACACACATACATAGGCACTTACACACACATGCACACATGTGCAGGAATACACACATGAGTGCACACACATGCAAAGGCACTCACACACATGTGTGCACACATGCAGGAATACACACGTGTGCACACACACGCATACAGAGGC